GGATAATTGCCTGATTCCAGGTTTGGAAAGGAAATGTTAAAGATGAGCCTGTTATATTTGGTCACATCAATCATCCTGGAAGCTCTCAAAAACTGGAGGTTCTTTCAAAACCACAGAGGAACCAACTGAGATAAACTTTGAGTACTCAGAGATGTGGCAAACTGGGCATTCATAAGTATGATAACTGCAATAGCTTGAAGCATGAAATGTTTAAAACCATTGGTAAACTTTAGAGGATGTTAAGGAACCACACACTATATTAAGAACTGATAAAGGGAGAGAATCAAGCATCCATCCTGATTTTCTTATAAAAATTGAAACTCTAGCAAACTAGTTTATCTTCATAGAAGCATTCCACTCAATAAATAAACCAGAAATGACAGTTATATTGCCATTTTCAAGCTCTAATGAATAAATAGACATAGGCAATGATCAACACCAACTGCTAACATCACAAAAAGAGAAAGAGCCAGTAGTCTTGCCCCTCATCCCCTAAATGAATTTGATCAAGTCTTCACTACCCATTAACAGGTAAGAAACAGGGCTGAGGAGCTCATTAAATGACTCTGCAGCAATGCATCAGCAAAAGCAGACTATGGAAAGCTGTACAGCACAAACAATCCAGTTTCTTAAGAAACAAGGAAAAATAAACATAAACCTATAGATTAAAAGAGGAGACATATTAACCAATTACAATGTATGGACCTTATTTGTATTCTGCTTCAAATAGTAAAGAATACAAAACTTTAGCAGACAACCAGAAAATGTTGAATATTGGTTTTGTATATTTGAGAATAGTAAGAAAATGTTGACTTTTTAAGTGTGGTTAATTTTCTAGGTGTGGTTCATTTTTAAGTTTAAAAAAATCTTAATCTTTTAAAGATAAAGATTGAAATGTTACCAGATAAAATGATGTCATGTCTGGGATTCGCTTCAAAATAATTTGAGGTGGAAGTGGAAAGTGGAAACAACAATTATGAAACAAGCTGACCCATGAGATGATAGCTGTCAAAGGTAGGTATGGTTATATAAAATTTCATTACCGTTTTCCCTCTACTTTTCTAATATATTCTTAATTTTCATAACAAAAAGTTAAATACACTTAAAAGTAGACAAATACATACTAATTTGAGGTGATGGTTAAGGACTCAGAAGTTACAGTCCATGTGTCTGAATGAAGGTAGTTTCTCAAACATGCAGATATCAGAGATTTGTAGGATTCTCTCCATGGAGAACCTTGTTTTCTCCACAGAGAACACTGGTTTCTGAGCAAGGGTGGGCCCTTTTTCTGAAAACAGATCAGGGAATATGAAAGCAGTTGGCTACTTAACTGAAGATACCAAAAGGAAAAAAAATAGGACACCAAAAAACTGGGTCTACAAATGTGGTTGTTGGTTCTCCTTGTTTGTTTCAAATAAGGCTTGGTTTAGGAGCAGTCTAATAAAGCATGTGACTGCTATACTTCCAACAGTATCTTTGCAAATAAATACAACCCATACAATTCAACTGTCCATCCCACTTTTCCTGTTTGTTTATTGCTCTTCAACAGCACCTAATGCTTTTTAATTTTTTCATTCTAAGGCAAGGGAAAGGGATCTCTAGAGAAGTTAAAAAAGTTTTCTGAAGTCAAATAATTCATTAGAAAGTATGTTTTATCCAGAATCCTACTGTTTTGCTGCAGAAGGAACACTGAGTAGCTTGTCCAAGGTTCTGCCAAAGGAAGTCTCTTCTCTCACGCTCATCTGAATCCAATCCTTCCAAAATAACATGCCCAGGTCTAATAAATGGAGTTCCTAAAAGGATGGATGTCTCCCATTTAAAAAAGTATTTCCCAGAGTCTCTAGGGTTCAATGTCCTACAAATAATCAGCATTCAAGATATGAATTTACTGACTTTTAAAAGCTATACAAATTTAAAATTTTCAATATTATTTTACAGTCAATTATCCCATCTATAATATTACTGCCTAGCATTATTATAAAAGTATCATCACAAATGCTAATGATCAATTTCACTAAATGCCTGAAAAGGTCATGAGAGATTTAAACTCTGATGTGTGCTTTGGAGGAGAATCAGCTTTTGGAGAAACAAGGCTAGGGAGCACTTTTTGAGACCGATTACATTTTTGGAATTATTTGCCAAGTTGTATTGTAGAAATGGTAACAAAACTTCTTCATTTTCTTTTCTTTCTTTCTTTCTTTTTTTTTTTTTTTTTTTTTAGATGGAGTTTTACTTTTACTCTTGGTGCCCGGGCTAGAGTACAATGGCATGGTCTCAGCTCACTGGAACCTCCACCTCCCAGGTTCAAGTGATATTCTTGCCTCAGCCTCCCAAGCAGCTGCGATTACAGACGCCTGCCACCACGCCCAGCTAATTTTGTATTTTCAGTAGAGCTAGGGTTTCACCAATATTGGTCAGGCTGGTCTTGAACTACTGACCTCAGATGATCCACTCACCTTGGCCTCCCAAAGTGCTGGGATTATAGTCATGAGCCACTATGCCCTGCCAATTATAATTAAACTTTAAAAAATACTTGTCCCTATAGCTAGAATTTTCATTAGTGTATTTATCTTTTTCATGTAGTCTTGTTTACAATGGGCCATTTTAAAAGTTGCTATCCCAGGCTTATAAAGCAATTTTATGATGTACTCCTATCGACCATATGAAAAGCATTCATCTCTGAGAAAGTATCATAAAGAAATCCTACTGTAATGATAACTCAAATATTAAAGTAAACGTAAAAAATTATATTGTATGACAGAATATCAAAGGAAATAGAAAATCTCTGCAAGAGGGTATTTAATTTCTGATGAAAACAAAATAGTACTCTTTACAATTTGGCCTATCACATGACAGTATTTCTCAAACTCCTGCTAAATTAATGTTGGAGCACAGTTCTTCAGGCATTAATGATTTTAGTTATGGTCAATGGTAGTTGATATACAGATAATAACTGATAGTGATATCAAATCTGTACATATTTGACTCTCTTCACATTTCTAAGTGATCTAGACCAGAACTAGGTTGTTTATATGGTAGCCACTAGTTACATGTGGGCTATTTATATTTAAATTAATTAAATGTAAATAAAATTCAAAATTAAGTTTCTCTGTTGCACTAGCCATGTTTCAAGTACTCAATAGCCACATATGGCTAGTGAGTACCATATTGGATGGTGCAACTATGGAACATGTCCATTATCACAGAAAGTTCTACTGAACAAAGTTGGTCTACATTAGAGAGGCTACTACTGATGAATGGAAAATCTCAAATATATACATAAATGTGTATATATACATATGTATAATCTATTTCTATAGCAATTTTCCTTTTGTTATAGGAGGTTTCATTAAATATGTCAAATTTAAATTTTTTTCTGGAAACATTTATATTTTAATGTAAACAGTTAAAATTGTGCCATGAGCACTGTACTATAGATTTTCATTTTCCTTGTATTACAAGGATAATGAATTTCAAAAGATTTCATTTCCTCAGGATAGTGAATTATAACATTACTTTGCCTTCTCCTTCAAATCTTTCTTTATAAACATCTATTCTAAGCCCTCTCTGCTTCCAACTTTACTCAGCAAAAGCCTACCTTTGTTATGCAGCAAGGAATTCCTACTTTAGAAGGTAGCACTTTTGGCCTCAACCTCCACATTTGTGAAGTTTATAAGTTACATAAAAAATCCAATTCCTAGCCAAGTCTTCTTATTGGGTGAGGAGGCCCTTCCAAAGTTCCAGCGAATTCCTTAGTCTGACACAACTTTTCTCAATTTAGAAAGATGCATTAGGTAACATATATTAAAAGGCAGAAATATGCAAATGCATAAACAATAGAATTTGGCATAATTATGTGATAAAGTGAAATGTTCCTGCAGTTAGTTATTGAACATGAAGGATCTCTCTCATTCTTCAGAGAAACTGTGAGATAATCTCTACCGTTTATGCTTAGCAAGGAGCCATACTGCGGAGGAAAAGTAGAAATACACACGAGTGACAAAAGCAAAACAATATATATATGAAAAACTCTCAAACCACCTTCGATGAAATGTAATATGTCTGCATTTAAAGACTAGGTAAATCACACAGTGAATTTAGAAGGTGAAAAACGATGTCTATAATTACATGAGTATATAGAAAATGTTAAGTATTTTGTGAAAAGGTATGTAAACAACAACGAAAAATCATTTCATATTGAAAATAATTTAATTTTAAAAGTAGATAGTACAAACACAAAAATAAAAATAAAAATAAAGTCCAAGTAAGGAAATAGTAGAAATTTCAAATATTTTAGGAATGTCTTTCCCCAGAGTAGCATGTTGTTTAGAAACTAAATTTCCACAGTAGATTTCATAACTCCTGAACATGAATTAGAACCTTGATATTAGCTGCAGAAATGTACATTAGTTTTGGGGAAAGGGAGAAATAAAATAATGTGCCAACCTCCCAACCATATCCCCAAACAGATTTTTGCATCTTGGTCATTACACTTACTTTCAAGATACTTTTCTCAGTTTAAACATGTAATCTTGTCTCTTTGCTCACTTGCTCACTCTTCAAGCAAGCCTACAGCCAAATAAATTGCCATAAATGTTTACCAGTAAACCGTTATTTTCCAAGGAATTTTTTCTTAATTTTTTAAATTTAACAAGTTTAACTACAATTAAGAAAGTACTCCTGGCACAAGGACTTTGAAACATTGTTTGGGTATTGGAAAAGTTTGAAACTTCCAGTTCATTAGGACTTTGAGTAGCTATTTTGTACCTAAGAATGAGAATTGATGGAGAGATTGGGACTAAACACATAATTTTATGAAATATGATGAAAACATGAGAGTTTTGGTATGACGCACGTAACGATCAAGAACCCGTTTCTTTTTAGCAGGCTTCTAAAAAGTACCTCCCTTATAATTACTAAATAAAAACACTCACTTATTCAGTACTCAGCTAGCTTTTAAAATCTGAATAACAGAAGTACACAGTGAGAGAGGTACTTACATGGTTTCCTTGGATACTGGATGATGCCATTCAGGTCTATGTTTTTATCTGAAAGTGGTGCCCTGTGGAGAAATGAGGCTTGGTGAGTGGCTGTTTATACATAGTAAGTAAATAGGAACTTTGTTTATTTTACAAAGCATTTTTTATTTTGACCCAGCTTTCCTTTTCTATCACACCCAACTCCTGTAAACAGCAATAATATAGTAGAACAGGTACTCCGTACAACTCTTTTTAACTCCACTTAAGAAATCATAATTATTAAGGCAGAAGTTCAGAATGCTTTGGCTAAGGATGTTACTCCTTGGATTGCTGTATATATCTTAACTAGTTTATTTATGTCAGACATATTAATGAATATTGCTTGCCTCTCTATTTTCCTCAAAAGGAATATTTCTCAAACCACTAATAAATAAATTAGTCTAAAACATTCACATAAATGATAAATGTCCTTACCTTAACCAAAAGATAAGAGAACTCAAGCTTTAGCCAGTTTCTAAACATGAAGGGATTGCACAGACCTTAGCTGCCATTTTACATGTTCTAGTGGCATCCTAGATTCCCAATGGTTTTAGTGCTATCAGCATACAATTTTGACATCCAGTCCCTCAGAACTACACACATTCTAATTTTGGTAGCATGATTAATCCCTCCTATGTGATAAGTTATTTAACCTTCTAATATTTCTTAGAATCGAAAAGAACAAATGAGTTGCAGCAAAGAATGGCAAATAACTTTAATGCTTAACACAGTTTAATAACCTGAAATGAAGTAAGTATGTGCTACGTTTCCATTAAAAAGTTTCCAGCCACAATTAATTGAACGAAAACTTGTCTTGTTCCAAGATTATTCTTGGAAATGTAATTTTAAAATCTGCTTGAAATGAGGAAACTTACTTTTTTATACCATATGAAAGCAATTTCATTTTTTAGGAATGATTTTTGGATAGACTTCCGATTGGATATTTTCCATTGGAACTAGCAGCATAGGGGGTCGGGAGGGGGGAGGGGAGGGAAGCAATTCTGTGTTCTTTCGCCAGCACTGACAAAGGTCTGGTTGTCAGTGATACCTTTACAGCTAAATTTACTCCAGAGTGACAGAAACAGGTGCACCTCGGCCTGCCAGACACTTGTGCAGAGAGATCACGCATCTCACGGCTTGACGATCAAGGGGGCAAAGCCTCGGTCTTCATAGAAAAGGAGAGGAGGCAAACGCAGCCCAAACTGGGGGGTTTCTCTTCAAAGCCAGCTGGTCTGGCTTTATTCTACAGGAATTTTTTTACCTGTCAGGATTTGGACAACAAAGCCCTCAGCAGGTGCTGACGGGTACAACTTCCTGGAGAAGCAGAAAGGCACTGGTGAGTTTCAATTGCCAAAATATATTTTTTAATCTCTAAAAGTTAATGTTGTTGTCTTGAAAGAGGCACCACTGAGGTACCTGTGTTCACAAAGTTGATGAGACCATTGGAATCAGAGCCAACTCACTCAACAGTGGATTTGCCTGGTGTGAAAGTAAAGCTGTTAGCATATAATAATTTTTTAGTTTTTTTTCTTTTTTTAGGTTTTAAAAAAGATTCCATTTTTAAATATTGGTCTCTTTCATTACTGTTTTCAATCTTTGGAAGATGAAGAGTTAATTACATTTATAATGTTACATGATTTAACACATATTTTAGTCTTCTTTTATCTAATTATCTAATTCTGTCATAATCTTTTCTGAATAAAAAGCTATTTTCTAATAAATCTCCCAAATAAAAAGGTGCAATGGTGGTACACACTGTTTTCGAAAATTACATGTACTGGCTTTTTAAAATGTGTGCATGCTACAAGAACATGAATAGAGAGAATACGCAATTAACTTTATTTTAATACATTTTTAAAACATATATTGCATGTATAATTAAATAATTTAAAATATATTGCATGTTTAATAATTAAATAAAAGTAAATCGTATTATAGTAAATATTATTTAATAATTAAAAGTGGCAATATTTTCTCATTACTTTACAAAGACTGTCTTTTGAGAAAAATCTTTGAAATTAACAATAAGACAGTATTAAAGCAGGTTTTTACATCATTGATTTCCAAAATTAGTATATTTATATATTTTTTATTTTTATTTTGTGAATTCAAAAGTTTAGGCAAAAATATTTTCTTCAGAATAGGATTTTAATTAATGCAAAACATGAAAAAATGAGACCACATGTTAGGACATATTTTTAAAAAGTGATTCTATTTCAGGGATTCATTCTTTTAACTATGCTTCACAGCATTTTTCTACAAATTGTTGTATTATAGTAAATTGAAAACATTTATTTAAGCAAGTAAGCAGCTCAAAGCTAGAGCCTATACATAGTAAACATATGAAACCATTTTAATAACCAAATTCCATATTCACAAGCAACATGGGCTAATTAATTTAACAGAAACAACAGTATACATTGATCAAGAATGTTATAAATTATTATGCATAAAATCAATTTTCTAGGCTGTGGGGGGTAGAATTGGTGCTTAAGAAAGAAAAGACTCCTACCAATATAAATTACTAATACTATGAGGCAATTGTTTTATTCTGATGATCCCATAAATAACTTTCAATCTACATCCTTTATACATGATTGTATAGTGGAAAAAAAATAATGACCGCTGTATCTGAAATAAATTTTAAATCAATGACGACATGGATATGCCACAAATGTATAACTAACACACTCTTTTAAACTGTCGTAATTACTGTTGAAAATTGTGAAATATTTGTGGTTTAAAAAATTATCAGAACTACTCCACCCAAGCAAAATATCTAATATTTTAAAAACATAGTTATCCACAAACATTTTAATGAACCCATATTTTAAAACATTAAACCCAAATATACTTTTTATTATAAATTGTTACATGTATGTTATATTTCAAATTATTAAACCATTTAAAAATATATATGTATTTATTGCGATTAAGCTGCTACTTTCATATATTTTGTCATGCTTCATTATGTTTCATTATATTGATTCAGACACCTGAGTAACTGTAGTCGCTAAATTTTTAGAATAACTTCATTAGTCTCTTAAAGAATTAGTTTGTATTTCATGCACTTGAAAATTTTACTTTTATTTTTCTAGTCTGTTAAATGCTACATTCCTAAACAATCACAATATTTATTTTAAAGATGATGGTTACTGCAAAACTGAACAACATGTGTTCTTATTTCAACTTCAGAATTATATTTGTTAAGTTTTCACGTGCATTACCATTGGCTATAATTATTACATTGTCATTAAGTATAAGCAAACCAAAAGCTTCTGTCAAACTATTGTTTATGACTCTGTCAATTATCTAAGTATAAATGAATCTACTGGAAATAATGTTAGATATAGCTCAAGTATTTCAAAATAACTAAATTTATCATTTTAACTGTGCCCGAATTGTAGATTTAATCTAAAATCACATTATTTTTTTTCTTTTCATTATGAGAAGCTGTAAATTCTTGTCCACCATGTAGCTATGTTTGTCCTTTCTAATAAATCTTCAACATCGTGTCACAAAAAAAAAAAACCAAAAAACTATGCCAACTCCCTCAATATATGGGAATGGTTTATTTTAATAAAATATTGGAGTTTAAAGTAGCATTGATTTACACCTGCTCTAAATATTTAACATTAAAACATAGGCATTTCAAGCATTATTTGCGAGATATCTTCCTATCTTAAAGACAGCTTATTTACAGTGGAGAAAAATTGTTTTCCTGTTTCAGAAAGACACTTGGAAAAACATGTTATTTAACCTTACATATTAATAGGGAAAATCTTGATTCTACCAGTAATTAACTTCAATTAATTATATTTTAAATATCAGCCTATTTAATTTCAATGCAACAAAATTTCCAGCTAAAATGATTTACTTGTAAGTATTTAAAGCAACAAAATATTTTGGCAGCTTTATATGTATCTCCTCATTGACCAGCCACCTGACTGACAGCTGTCAACTGTCCATGTGCCAAATGTAACCCAGTAAAGATAAAAATTACATATTACTCATCCCTGTTGATAATACCTGGTGCCAGTAGGTTTCAAATAGGAATAACTAGACTATAGATAAAACACAAGTAAGTGGGGAATCATTTCTACTGCCTACTTCTCCTCCCCTGTCATTAACTCATTTCCCCTTCTTTTTCTTATTGATCTCTTTTCCCTTGCTATTCGTATCTACAGAGTTATTTTCCTTAAAGGAACTTTCAGAGTATGTTACAAGTCTGTGTCCATGAAAATACTGGGCAGCCAGGTAATAATGCCCACACATTTCTTTTAGTCCTATTTTCTTTTAAGCTCATAAACTATTTCAGAGTTATGGGAAGAAAGCTTTAAAGCTTTCAGCTTCTCATTTTCAAAGAAAATGAAATCAAAGAACAAAAATGAAATTTACCAAAGGTCACCAAGGTGGCTATGTAGATACAGACTTCGGTCTGTTTCCCAACTGAATATCCAGTGATTTTTTTTCTAATTAGACTTTAAACATGTTGACTATTAAACTATAAGTAACAATGATCACATGGAAAATTAATGTGAATTACATTCCTTTGAAGAACACTTTTCAGTTACCAAACAATACCTTGTTAGAGAAATACACATTTTTATCACAGCATATTAAAATGTAGTTCTAAAAAATACAAAGACTATAAATGTACTAAAACATCTATGGTACAAACATTTTTTATTCGTTTTACCTTTTAAAAGGATTTCCAAACTGGAAATACTTGTGAATGTATATGAAATATCAGAAATAAAAAAAAATCAAAGGTAATATATATATTTAGAAGATAAATGTAGAAATCAAAAATGTAGGTTGGAATATAGGGTTTTAAGATTGAAAGTAATTAAAAACACAAAATATACTAACACATAAGCATATGTATATATTTAAGTGCATAATACATTATATAGTTCATATAACTGACTTAACAACTGACTAGCTTGTCTGTGTGTATATATAACTATCTTATATTAATTCTAAAAGTATTAATTATATTAGTAAATATTGTATATTTATATAATTTGTAGATAATATTTGTACAATATATTGATCCAGTCAAGGTCATGAAAATATTAATATTCAAGCCAAATATTTGTCTTCTGGATCTCCAGAAAAGAAACTGTTTAGTTGAAATCTACCACATTCTGAATTTATAAGAATTTATCTTAGTCCTGGGCTTTGGAACAGTACTTGCTCATAGGAAGTGTTAGCTTGAAAACCCAGACATGCAAATTAATAAGAAAAAGAGAAGGGGTAAAGCTTAAAAATTGAAAAAAAATATGGGAGGAAATTGTGGCCAGGGTTCTCCTGCAAGGGATTGATCTAAAATAATCAACATTTTTATGACTAACAACACTTTTTAGCAACTAAATTGTATATCTAAATTTGAAAATATATTTGCTTATTCCATTACATTTAGTCCAAATCAACATTAGTCATTAATCAACAAACCATTTAACAATATGCAGTAACAGTACGCAAATCAATTGCAAGCAAAGTAGTCAGTAAATAACATCCATTTCTAGCAATTTGAAAGATAGGAGTGTCAAAGGAAAATGTGCAAAATCACAAGACTTTCAAGTAAGTTTAATCATTGCCCTGCATCCCAAAGGGGTTTTAGTGAAAATGAGTGACTCCTCCCTTGTCTGCTTCTGAAGGATCATAAAGGCTTCCTCATTAGAGTTACAGAGTGTTCTTCAAAGAGCACCAGAGCAGAAGTAGGAAGGTTTGAGTTAGGCCGGGCGCGGTGGCTCACGCCTGTAATCCCAGCACTTTGGGAGGCCGAGGCGGGCGGATCACAAGGTCAGGAGATCGAGACCACGGTGAAACCCCGTCTCTACTAAAAATACAAAAAATTAGCCGGGCGCGGTGGCGGGCGCCTGTAGTCCCAGCTACTCAGGAGGCTGAGGCAGGAGAATGGCGTGAACCCCGGAGGCGGAGCTTGCAGTGAGCCGAGATCGCGCCACTGCACTCCAGCCTGGGCGACAGAGCGAGACTCCCTCTCAAAAAAAAAAAAAAAAAAAAAAAAGGAAGGTTTGAGTTAAGACTCTTGTTTCACTGCAAAGTAATTTTGTGACTGGAAACAAGTCACTTAACCTCTGTGAGGCTAATGAATGGATGGGTCTTTTTGCCCATTTTGTACACATGGTAGGAAAGGAAGTTTTAGATACCCAATGAAAGACATTTCCTCTGTTTCATGTGAGGAAGTCTCAAAAGGAATCTGGACCATTATTGGCGGGTTCCTGTCTGCAATGACATGCCCCACCCTGTCCCTATTGCTATAAGTAGCTCGCCATGTAGGCATTCCAAGTAATTAAAACTGACACGGTATCTAGCCTGTGAAGTCAGTGGGCAAAACAAAATCACTTTGCAATACACTCCAGAGCAGCAGGCCATATTTTTTCCACTTGGGGACCCTAGTAACATAATACAAAAAGTCTCATTCTCAAAATTATAACATAAAGCTTTAAATTTTGCAGTATGCACTATAATGCTAAATTGACAAAAAGTACTGAATGGTCATTTAATATTTTTAATTTTATACAACGAGGGGACAATTTTTAAACTTAGAAAGATATTCTCCACACACACTACTATAAGCCAGCATGATAATGTATTTGTTTAGGTCAGGAAAATGTTGGAACAAGAAACAGTATTAAAAATATTTGAATCCTAGTACGGTATGTCTGCTTTAGGTTATGTATGGTGAATAAATGGATTGAAAGAATGGATAAATACAGTTGGGGAGTTCAATATTTTTAAGGAAAACTTGTAAACTAAAGCAATACTTTTGCAATAGCAATAATCATTTATTATTGCTTTTTTATATTCACAAGGACAGAACTAAAACACGATTAATGTATTTTTTAAAAAATCTTAATATAAAAGAGGTTAAAGGCCTAAGATATGGATCACTCTGTTGACAACGATGGCAAAGGTGTGCAGGCCCTTTATGACTGCTTGGCAGATGGAG